TCGGCCAGGGAGCAGGAGGCGGAGCTTTCCTCCCTCAGGCAGCAGGCCCAGCAGCAGCAGAGCTCCCTGGACCTGGAGCGGGACCGGATGGGCCGGGAGCTGGAGGCGCTGCGGGCCCAGCTGCAGCAGCAGGTACCGGCGGAGGACAGATCCACAGCCCACGCCCAACATGAGTCCAAACGGGGGAGCCGAGCTTTGGTGGGAGGGATCAGACGGGATATGTGGGGAAAAATCCACTCAAGAGTGACTTTTGGCTTCACATAAAACAAGAGACCCAACCAAGACTAACCAAAGGAATGAAATGTTTGTTGGCCAATTAGTCTGGTCAAAAAAACTAAAAAAGGAAAGAGACAGACTCTTCTTGCATCTTTGATTCTTTTCTGAATTAACACATTTAGTTCTAGTTAAATAATTGTTAATGAAGATATTTTGTTGGAACTTTTAAATTAAAATATCTGGATATCTGAAGGCTTTATTTCCTCTTTAGAGCACTTATAGTTGTTTGTTCTCTCCCCTGAGAACAAAGTCCTCCATCCTCCACCATTTGTTACTGCCTTCATCAGCTTTTTGATGGACACTTCAGAAGCAATTCATAAACCAAAGCGATCTGTGTTTATCTGATCTAGAGTTTTATTTTCTATTCTAATGAGAAAATCTCAAAGCATCCACACAAGATCATCACACAAGTGCCAAAAATCGTGTTACTGCCGAGAAACGAGGCTGTAAAGTGATCTTCTTGGTTTATGAATCGCTCTTCATCCAACTTGTCATCATGTACCATGTTCTGACCGCCTTCTTTCCCTCGTTTCGCTGTTTATTTCTGCAGCTTGACATCAACGCGGAGCAGAAGCTGGAGATCGACAGGCTGAGACGGGACCTGGACTCGACGCGGGCCGAGCTGACGCGGGCCAACGGCCTTCTGCAAAGCCGAGAAATGGTCGGTCTACGTCCTGAACCTTTCCCCCCGTCCCCTTTGGGGTAAAATCCCCGGCCCTAACCGGTCTACGCCTTTCTTCCCCCCTCAGAGCGGCACCCAGCTGAACAACTCTCTGGCGGCGGTGCAGGCGGAGAGGGAGCGGCTGCAGCGGGCCGTGCAGCAGCAGGAGGCCGAGCTGGCCTCCCTCCGGCAGCAGGCCCGGCTCCAGCAGAGCGCCCTGGAGCAGGAGAGGCAGCGCAGCAGCCTGGAGCTGGGGAACATGCACGCACAGCTGCAGCAGCAGGTGGCGTAAAACCTCCCGAGGCGCC